ACAACAACTGGCACAGCGTCCTGTACGTCCTTTAGATTCATGTACACTGAATCTCCTTAACAGTCTTACCAGTGACTGTGATGGCTCCCCGAAAAAACAGGGTCAGAGGAGGAAGCAGCAAACCACCCGGGGAGAACTGAGAGAAGACAGTGTCTTCACTTATTAAGCATAAGGATATTCTTTAAGTACAGGAAAGAGATGGAGGAAGAGAAAACTTTCAGCAGTAAAACTGGAATGGCAACTGCTCTTCAAATTAACAGGCAAGTTACAAAGAGGAGGAAACCTTCCTGAAAAGGGAAGAAAATGAAAGGGAAAATAAAGAGCTGGGTGTTAGGCACAGTGGGTAAGGCACTGCTTGGAACACCAGCACCCCTAGCACAGTGTCTGGGTTTAAATCTCTGCTCTACTTTTTTTTTTTTTTAAGATTTATTCATTTTTATTACAAAGTCAGATATACAGAGAGGAGGAGAGACAGAGAGGAAGATCTTCTGTCCAATGATTCACTCCCCAGGTATGCGCAATGGCTGATGCTATGCCGATCCGAAGCCAGGAGCCAGGAACCTCCTCCAGGTCTCCCACATGGGTACAGGGTCCCAAGGCTTTGGGCCGTCCTCGACTGCTTTCCCAGGCCACAGGCAGGGAGCTGGATGGGAAGCGGAGCTGCCGGGATTAGAACCGGTGCCCATATGGGATCCCGGCGCGTTCAAGGTGAGGACTTTAGCTGCTAGGCCGGGCCCTGCTCTACTTTCAACGCCAGCTGTCTGCCAGTGTGCACCCTGCAAGGCACCACATGATGATTTAGGTGCCTGGCTCCTGGCTTTCAACTGACCTAGCCCTGGATACTGCTAGTCACTGGAGAACCAATGGATAGATCTCTCATCTCTTTCTCTGTTCTTTCTAAAAAAAAGAAAAGAAAAAAAACAAGTTTCTTTTTAAAAAAAGGAGACACGAGGAGAGAGGAGAGACAGAGATATTTTCCAGCTGCAGGTTAACTATCCCAATAAAAGCAACAGTCAGGCTTAGGCCAGGCTGAAATTTGGAATATAATCCTGGTCTCCCACATGGGTGGCAGGAACCCAAGTACTTGGGCCATCATAAGCTGCTTTCCCAAGCACATTTATAGGGAGCTGGATCAGAACAACAACAACATGACTCAAACCAGCCCTCCCATATGGGATTAAGTCATCTCAAACAGCATCTTAACCTGCTGTGTCATAATGGTGGCTGAGTTTCTCTCATTCTACGCTCCTGTGGGCAAGGTTTCCAATCTTCATGATCTTCCAATTGCCCCTGATAGATCTGGGCTTGGGAAACACACTTCCAACTGCCTTGTAATTCGGTGATTTTAGAGTTCTGTCAAAAAACAAGATGGTGTGAGTTAAATTGCATCCATGAGACACATCTATGAGCTGTGTGTTCAGTATCCATTTTCACAAGGCCAGAAGAGCCAGACAGGCAAACTAACTTGGGTGCAAAGGAGTGGTCAGTCTCTTCATCAAGGTCTCCAGGTGGCCCTCAGGCTTTTGAAGAATTAGTCAATCATGAATGTAACCAGAATGTCAATGCCAAGTTGAACTTTGGCAAGACGGGGATGGACTGTACTTTCTTCTAAGTCATGGTCACTGTCAAATATAACTGAGGTTGTGAGAGTCCTGGAGACCAGGCTGGGGATGGAAACTAAGGCAGTTGGTGGTGATGACCACAACCCAGAAGCTGAAACCACACTCTGCATCTCTAATTATGAACACAATGGCTAGTTCCGGCTCTTTCTGTTGCTTATGACTTTTCATTTAGATTGCAGGGTTATATTGTACTGTGTGCAAAATGCCATGTTTTTTTTTTTTTTTTAAGTAACATCTCGAAAATAGACTGAAGAGGGGCCAGGTGACAGCACAATTGGTTAATTTGGTGTTCTTACGTTTTATTAGGTACTATAGTCGGTTTGTGTGTGTGTGTGTTTCAGGCAGAGGAAGAGCCAATTGAGCTATTGTTTAGGCTGCCCTTCAATCTATTTCCAAAATCTTATTTTTACACATAGTATGATATAAGCCTTGCAATCTAAATGAAAAGTCATGGGCAAGAAAAAGAGCCAGAACTATTCATTGTGCTTTCGTCTTCCACCTGCAGCTTTGACATCCAATATGGGTGCTGGCTCGTGTCCTGGCTGTTCCACTTCCTTTTGAGCTCCCTGCTTGTGGTCTGGAAAGCAACAGAGGATACCCCAAACACTCGGAACCTTGCACTCGCATGAGAGACCTGGAGAAAGCTCCTGGCTCCTAGCTTTGGATCAGCTCAGCTCTGGCCACTGTGGTCATTTGGGGAGTGAACGTGTGGATAGATCTTTGTCTCTCCTTCTCTCCATAAATCTGCTTTTCCAATAAAAATTTAAAAATTTTAAATATTTATTTTTATTGCAAAGTCAGATATACAGAGAGAGACAGAGAGAAAGATCCTCCGCCTGATGATTCACTTCCCAAGTGAACAGCTGGACTATGCTGATCCAAACCAAGGAGCCAGGACCTTCTTCCAGGTCTCCCACATGGGTGCAGGGTTCCAAGGCCTTGGCCCGTCCTCTCCTAATTTCCTGGGCCACAAGCAGGGAGCTGAATGGGAAGCGGGGCGGCAGGGATTAGAACCAGATCCCATCACATTCAAGGTGAGGACTCTAACATAGGCCACAACACCAAGCCCAAATAAATCTTTTTAAAAAGAAAAAGACTGAAGAAAACTAGTTAGTCCTATCATTTGTATGGACTCACAATATATTAGCAGCAACATTGTCTAATACACCATGCAAGATACATAGTGTCCACAGACAATGTAACCAGGGCAGTGAAGCAAGGAGTAACCTCCCAAAATAGCTAAATGGGAGAAAGAATAGGAACAGGAGGAAAATGAAAGAACAAGTTCTGGGGGTTGGCCTGATGGCTCACCAGGCTAATCCTCAGCTTGCAAATGCCAGCATTGCATATGGATGCCAGTTTGTATCCTAGCTGCTCCACTTCCAATCCAGCTCACCGCGTATGGAGTGGAAAGGCAGTAGAAGATGGCTCAAGTTCTTGGGCCCCAGAACCCTGTGGGAGATGTGGAAGAAGCTCCTATCTCCTGATTTTGGATCAGCCATTTGGGCCATTTGTGGAGTGAACCAGTGGATGGAAGATCTCTCTCTGTCTCTCCTTCTATGTGTAAATCTCCCTTCCAAATAAAAATTAATAAATCTTCAAAAAATTTAAGTTCTTATTTGGGAGAAAATTTTGGATTTACATTTGTTTATATAAACATATTTTTAAAAATGATATGTTTATTGGGCCTAGCACAATAGCCCAGTGGCTAAATCCTTGCCTTGCTTCTGCCAAGATCCTATATGGGCACCAGTTCATTTTGCAACTGCTCCACTTCCCACCTAGCTCTCTGCTTGTGGTCTGGGAAAGCAGTACAGTATGGCCCAAAGCCTTGGAATACTGCATCCGTGTGGGAGACCTGGAAGCTCCTGGTTCCTGGCTTCAGATTGGCTCAGCTCCAGCATTGCTGTGGCCACTTAGGGAGTGAACAGCAGCTAGAAGATCTTCCTCTCTGTCTCTCCTTCTCTCTGTATATCTGCCTTTCCAATAACAATCAATCAATCAAACAATATTTATTTAGCTAATTGAGCCATCATGCTGGGCACTGTTTATATGAATATCTTATCTAATCTTGAAATTAGTAGCATGCATTACAGGAAATGATTAGTCTATTAAAGAGATAATACTAATCACCAGTTTTATTGCGCTAATGCTACTGAGAACTGGCTACCAACAGCTCAAACTTTTACCTTTCTCAACTGCAAACTCCACTTTTGAGGGAAATAAGACTAACTTTTTTTTTTTTTAATGCTTATTTATCTGAAAGAGAAAGGTCTTCCATGCACTGATTCATTCCTCAAAATGGCTGCAACAACCAGGGTTTAGTCAGGCTAAGGCCAGGAGCCCGAAAAACATCCAGATCTCCCACATGGGTTGTGGGGCCCAAACACTGTGGCAATCCTCTGCTGCCTTCTCTGGAGCATTACCAGGAAGCTGGATGTCAAGAGGAGCAGTCAGGACTCAAACAGGCACGCATACGGAATGCAGGTACTTCAAGCAGTGGCTTCACCTGCTGTACCACAATGCTAGTCCTTTGTTTAAATTTTTTTTTTTTTTAAGATTTATGTGTTTATAAGAAAGGCAGAGTTACAGAAGGGCACAGAGAGAGAGAGAGAGACAGAGATGGAGATGAGGAGGAGAAAGACATGGAGGGGAGAGAAAAGGAGGGAAAGAAGGAGGGAGCAAGACAAGCAATTCTTCCATTCACTGGTTCACTCCCAAGAAGACCACAATGGCCAGAAGTGGGCCAGTGTGAGGTCAGGAGCCAGGAACTTCTTCCTGGTCTCCCACGTGACTGCAGGGCTCAAGTATGTAGCCATCTTCCACTGCTTCTCCAGGAGCATCAGTAGGGAGCTGGGTCAGTAGTAGGGCAGCCAGGACTTGAACTGGTCAGCATTACAGGTGGTGACTGCCCACTATGCCAGAGCACCAGCTCCCTGCTTAAACTCTTTTTTTTTTTTAAAGATTTATTTTTATTATTTTTTGATTGGAAAGGTGGATATACAGAGAGGAGAGACAGAGAGGAAGATCTTCCGTCCGATGATTCACTCCCCAAGTGAGCGCAACGGGCCGATACTATGCCGATCTGAAGCCAGGAGCCTCTTCTGGGTCTCCCACGCGGGTGCAGGGTCCCAAAGCTTTGGGCTGTCCTCGACTGCTTTCCCAGGCCACAGGCAGGGAGCTGGAAGGGAAGTGGGGCTGCCAGGATTAGAACCGGCGCCCATATGGGATCCCGGGCGTGCTAGGCGAGGACCTTAACCACTTGCGCCACCGCACCGGGCCCTGCTTAAACTCTTGACTTTAGATAGGGTAGTGAGATTTTGGGAAGTGGGATGAGATTAAAATTGTAAATTTGAGCAATAAAAAGCAGACCCAAGATTATTCATATTAATTCTTTAAAAGTAGACTGAAATTTCAATAGAATTGCAAAAGAAAATGCATCTTCTTATGTAGCTTCAGATTCATCCACAGTCACTTAAATTAACAATGAGTTCAACTGTTTTCTGTAACAATTATGGCTTATCACTCGAGTAAATACACAGTGGGAATCAAGACAGGCATCAACAACAAATACATGAATAAGTAAAGAATACTTAAACAGATCTTAGAAACCTGAGTCATGCAAAAGCCCTGATGAAATAAATCAGAATATTTATTTCAACCTACTCCCTCTTTAACGTGTGTATCTGAGAACCACAAGGAAAGACTGAATTTTTGGTCACCTCACTAGGACAGGTGACAGCTGTTCTTGGTAGGGCAAACACCGTACACAAGGCGGGTAGCATTTTAAGGTAATTTATTTGAAATGCTTCCAGAAAAGTTTAAGGCCATTATATAAAAACATTCATTTCCTCAATACATTCAGTGCCTTCCTTCGCATAGGTCAACGCTGGACGAACCTCTGTTCTCAACACATTGGCCAAAGTGGCTGATATCTCCTGCAAAGATTGGGTCCTTCTTTCCCCACTTGAAATGTCTTTTCTCTCAGCGTTCTTCTGCCTCCATCCGCAGCAGATTCACTTCCTTGCTAACTTCAGCAACTTGAGAAACAAAGCAGTTTTAAATAAACTTGCAATAGAAAAAATTCACCATGTTTAAAATCTATAAATACAGAAATAGGTTTTACAGGGTAAAACTGACCACAAGTTTTCTCTTGAAAAATAATAATGTAATATACGTTGTTTCTACATTGATAAATTTTGTCACATGGCTGCTCTGAATGCACATGATACATGTACATAATGACAATATTGTATTTACTGCTTTCTTTTCTGTAAACTTGAAAGACACAGAATATTTAAAAAAAAACTTTTTTGGCAATAATTTAGAATCACTACTACTAGTGCTGGTGTGGGTATAATTTTGCAAGGGGGGGTCATCCTGAATATTTACACTTACAGAGAGCTTTGCTGGGTATTTAGGTAACTTTTTAAAAGGTCTACACCCTACCCTGCACTGTATGCAAATCAAGATGAGACCAAGAGGTTTTGGCTGATCATCAGTAATTGGCCTTGGAAGAATGTAATTAGAACTCTGAGACCCAACAGCAGAGAAGGAGACCTCAGGACTCAGGTCTGTCTCCAAGAGACGCTTTCTCTCTTCTAGCCCTTCCCACAGGAGGTCTGACGAAGCTCTTTGCCTTCCCGATTCTTCCTATGTGTCCGTGTGGGCAGCATCACGGATACACTCACAGAATGCTTTCATTTTGTCCTTGTTCCCAATTCCATATCCTGAGGAGGCCCACACAGATGACACAAGTCAAGGCTGGGGCTTTTCTTCCCATCCTGCCAGGTTTCCCCTGGCCCTGTGGGGCTGACTCTGATGTTTCAGGTTAGGAATGGCTCTCTAAGGCAAGCCACTAAGTGGGACAGACAACTTTTGGTGCTGTGTACATTTCCATGAGAGATTCGGAGCTGTCATGGCCCTTGTGAGGTCAGCCTCAGTTTCATGTCCTAAGAGATGAGCACATCCAACGTGCACTGGGGAGGGGAATGGCAGGGTTCACACGACGCCTTGTCCTCTGCACAGTGCAGCCTTCAGAACCCCTCGAGATGGCCTTCAGGTAAAATGACATCAAAACCAGTTCACTTCCAAGGGTGATCTTTCTCCATTCTCCCTCTGTCTTCTCTAGGGTGGCTTTGTCACATCCTGTTTTGTGAAGCTCTCTAAATCCCAGGCCTTCAGCTACATGTCAAAGAGCTGGACAAACACGGGCACTCTGCAGAGACAACAGCTTAGAGATCCTTTTCCTTTCTACTTTTAGAAAAATCCAGCAGGACAACTGTAAGTAACTTGTCTTAAGTACCTCTCCATCCATCCAGATGCTTCTGAAAGACAACACAGGGTAATGGCTGCCACAGACCCCAGCTTATACAGTGTGACTGGCAGTTACAGTACTCGGGACACACGTAGAGACACAGTGTGAGCCCGGGGCCAGCACAGTCACCAAAGTATTCAAAAAAGTGCTTCTCCAAACGGCTCCACATGTGGAATGCAAATACTGTACAAGTAAGACACAGGGCTGCTTCCAGGCCAGACACACGCTTTTGTCAGACGTTGCTTTCCACGTGCCTGCTGCTCCCACAGGATGAGTCCGTCTGCTCCATGCGCTCACAGTCAAGGCTGACTTCACTCGTGTCCATGCTACAGTCTGACTCGCTGTCTGATTGGTCCATCTGTTCAGGCTTCATTTCCCCCTGTGGCTCCCTGCTCTCCGAGTCGGCATTTAGGAAGGATCCTTCCGAGTCGATGACTCCGGCCTGCCCAGCCGCGCACACAACTGTTTCTTTGGCTTGACGGATACAGTTGAGCCACTGTTGCTTGTTGAAGGTGTCACTGGCTTGGAGCGAGTGCGTCTGACTTTGGGATCCATTTTTGAAACTCACCCTGAAGAAGTTTTTAACTAGAATTGAAAATACATGAAGGGGGATTAAAAAAATAGATCATTGGAGAGGTAAGACTCAGGTCAAAGACAATACCTGGAGTGAGGCTAACCCTTCTGGCTCCCACACCAGACATAGCTGAGCATAAAGTCTTTCCTGCCAATGCAACACATGGCTCCTCTCTGCCCTGCAGAGCTGCGGGCCAACCAATCGCCACTGACGCAGATCCAGCTCACACAAGCAAGCAGCCGGTTCTCAGCTTACAACAGCTCAGGGTCAGAGGTCCCAGGGAGACTTGTCACCAATGCTGACTGCAGAGCTTGTTAAAACTGTAGCTCCTGGAATGGCTGTTTGGTCTAGTGGTCAAGACACCTGCATCCCATATTGGAACGCTTGGGTTTGAGTCCTGGCTCCTCCATGTCCCCGTTACCTGCCAACACATACTCGGGGGGGTGGGAGGGGGTACCAGGTAATGGCTTAGCTGAGTCCCTGCCACTCCTGGGGGACACTGGAGTAGAATTCCTGGCCACTGGGGCTGAAGCTGTTGCAGGCATTTAGGGAAAAAACCAACAGATGAAATTTTTCAGCTGCTCATGTAAATAAACACTATTCATACACAAAAAATGGATTCTTGGGTGCTCCACTTCTGACCCAGTACGTGCAGGGTAAGTCTGATAATCTGTAAGCCATTACATAGCTTTTGTTTTTCTAGTTTAAGGAGCTCTTTGTACCACCAAAATATGCCAATGGTTTGCTTGAGAGTCCCAGTGCATTTAGTTTCCAGTGATTGAAAAGATATGTCAAAACACAGAGCTGTTATGTATTTGGTTACCTTTTTAAAGGAAGTTACATTTTAATAATGACAGGAGCCACATACACTATTAAAAAATGCTATCACACAATATGAGAAACATCTTATTTAATCTAACAACAACAATAGTAACTAGTATTTAGTGGGCCCTGCATGCCACACGCGAGGTTTGGTTCACAGGTATCACACTCCCTGCATCAACCCTGTCGCCAGTGACAGTGGCACCACAGACGAAATGAATGAAAAAGGCAGATGGGGCCCAAAAGTTACAACACTCGCTGTTGTGGGCTGGAGAATAAACCTAGACCCTTAGAAACATGAGCTCTTCTTTGGCTCTTGACTTATTCCCTAGTTCCTCTATGTCTCAGCTTCCTTATTTGTAAAATGGGGGGAAGTAAGAACCTCCTTTACAAGGCTATTACCAGGAATAAATGGCATCACACAGATAAATGCTTATGCAATGCCTGGCACATACTCCAGGACTATAAGCCCTTATTTCACTCCTAGTATGGCAGAGGGATTGGGGAGTAGGTAAGAGACAGTGCACACCTATTTTTCTGACAATATCATGTCTATTTAATCCAGAAGGCACAGACATTAGATGCTCAAAGAAGGCCTCCCTGACCATCTTATCTGAAACAGATCTCGCAATGCTACCCCTCTGCCACCTGTTCCAGCTTTCAGTTTTCTCAATAGCACATGTACACTGTGTTTTATCATCTGTCGCGATGTGAGCTACGTAGAGGACAAGGCATTTAACTGCTTGGCTCACCACTGAGTATTTAGGGCCAGGAGCAATGCTTGACACACAGGAGATGCTGTCTTAGGATTTCTGGGTTAATTCCTCCGTTTAAGAAGCCTCATATTAAGAGAGGCCCATCTGAGTAATGCTACAGATGAACCTTCCTCCCAGCCTCTGTAAGGATATTTGCCAGTTCAACTAAAAAAAATCTACTTTTACACAACCATTCTCCCCAGAGGGAGTATCTAGTATTAAGCATGCTTTTATCCAACAGGAGGAGACAGAGAAAGGGAACTTAGGATGTATCAGCTATGTGCAGACAACTTCCCTCAGAGTATTTTACTTAGTTCTTTTCACAACCTTATGTGGGAGGGATGCCCACATGTCCACATTTCAGGTGGGAAATTGAAACTCACAGGAGATGAGCAAGGGGACATTATCAGTAACTGATGAGACAGTGCTGGAATGCAACTGGACCATGAGGCACTGGTCTTAGCACCTGCCGGCTACTCCTAACCTACCACCAACAAAACCGCCCAACAGGTTAACCCAGCCCGGGCCAGACCCATGTGTACGTACTCCTCTCATTGTTGCTGAACGCTCCGCGCAGGGAACCGCCCAGCCTCACTTCTCCGTCCTGCAGGTCTTCCAGCAAGAGGTCCTTCACTGGGATCGGCTGTCGGTACAGCTGGTAGCAGAGCTGTTCGTTGTGAGTGATGGCTCGAGTGATTACGAGCACTTCTTGGAACAGAAATACATGCAGTTTCTAGAAAAGAATCCAGAGGATTTCTCTAAGCAGGTGAGTTCTGGATCATCCAAGTTCATCCTGGATTATGAACTTCTAGGCTCAAATCCCACTCCAGGAGCTGGGCACTTGGGCACGTCTGAGGTGTTGCAAGATATACCCACTGCCTTCTGTAGAAGCTCCTCCCAAACAACCCACTGTAGAGCCATTCTGCACAGATGTTGTGAGCAAGGCTGCCACTTTGGGAGCCATATTCACCCTGCAATTCACATCCTGTACAGACACACACAGCCTCCAGCCTCAGTGATGAAGGAGGGTAGGGGAAACATGCTCCTGACTTTGTTTTATATTGTCCAATATAGTTCCATTGGATCAAAATGAACAATAGTCTACAGAAGGTGAGACTGGTGTATCAAAGCCTAATGTTAATTTTTGCTTCCCAAATCCATGAAAACACATGTTCCTTGACCACAGAGCTGAGCGCCAGCTATATCCAAGAACTCCAAACGAGAAGATTCTGCAGCTCTTATCAGAGTTCCTGGATTCAACATCTGGATCCAGTGTGTGACTTCAGTTTCCTGTTAATAGGGACCTTGGTAGGCAGTAGCGGCAATGGCTCAAGCAGATGGCTTCCATCCAGCAACAAGGGTTTAGTCTCTCTGCTTCTGGTTTGACCTTGGGCCTGGCACCATTACGGGTCTTTTGGGGAGTGAACTAAATGCATCCTACCTTACAAAGCAACAACAACAACAAAAGCTTGTCTCAAATCATATCAAAGCCAGTTTGCTGGGTAGATCTGGGATCAATTTGCTCTACTCAATTTTAATGGCTTTATTCTTCCCCCATCTTTTGGAAGGAATTAGACATTGGAAGTGGAAAAATCCACAACTTCATATACTTGAGTTCTGGTTTACTGAAGGGAATATGCATATTATCATCCCAGTGACTCGAAGGGGGTAGACCAGAAGGCAGAGTGCAAACTCAGAATTTTAATGTGAGCCTGGGGAAGTACATTCAGCATGACAAGCTCATTTCATATTTGGGAGAAAAGAAATTCACGGGTTTCTCCTCCTCTCCTCTCCTCTCCACATCCCACCCTTTGTACCCAACACACATGCACACACACACACAGGAAGGGAGAGAGAAAGAGAGAGACCCAATTAAAAATTATAATGTCTATTTAAAAACAGTATAAAAGCAAAATATAACTTAGATGACCAAGATAAAGTCTCTGGGGGTAGGCAGTGTGAAAAGAATACATTATCAGTTTCTGCTGGGGTAGGGCATGAAGGCGCTGGCCACTGTTTTATGCACTTAATGTTCAGAGATTTCTATCCTGTTTCTGCTTTAAGCTTGTGGCCAAGGAAGACCTTTCCAGCTCAGATGGTCTGAACAATCTTTTAAACATGCCTTCATTGACGAACACTCCCTGAGAGCTCCTCCTGCTAGTCCCAGCTCCTCTTAGCCCTCTAGCTACTGTGCTTTTTTTTTTCTTTCTAGCATAGGACTTTATTCATAATGACTTCTGCAATGCTACTGGAGGAGAGAAAAAGAAAAACACCTCTCAGTCCGACTACATTTTGTCCTCAAAATCCATCTGTCTGTGGTACAAGTCGAGTTCATCTTTACTGCTCTAGGCACCCCACAGAGTCCTCAATCCTCAACTAACACACAGGAGGAACAGCCCCACCAATGCATCTCTCTGACTTTTTCCCCGAAGGCTTCCTAGAAAGAACATTCTAGAAGCTGAATGTCAGACAGAAGTCCACCAGCATTTTCTAAAGATCAGCAAGATGCAGAACACAGTTTTCAGCAATCCATAACTCCCTTGTCAAACATGAATGTGTCCTCCAGCAGCACTCACTGCCCCATCAGCTGGTGGGGATCCAGCAGCCCTGAGAATCAGGGAGCATTTCTCAGCCAGCCTTGCCCAGGTTAAGAGAGTGTCCCTTGAATTAACAAAGCTTCAACAAAGAACCCCCTTGGCTTTCACTACAAGGGTCGACTAGAGACTGAAGATGAAATTACAATCAAAAGGGAAGTACTCTCCCAGTGGCTATTTCAACACAGAAATTTTATTATTTTTATTTATTTATTTTCATTGAAAAGTCAGATATAGAGAGAGGAGGAGAGACAGAGAGGAAGATCTTCCGCCTGATGATTCACTTCCCAAGTGACCACAATGGCTGACGCTGAGCTGATCTGAAGTCAGGAGCCAGGAACCTCCTCCGGGTCTCCCACATGCGTGCTGGGTCCCAAGGCTTTGGGCCATCCTTAACTGCTTTCCCAGGCCACAAGCAGGGAGCTGGATGGGAAGTGGAGCTGCCAGGATTAGAACTGGCGCCCATATGATATCCTGGCGAATTCAAGGTGAGGGCTTTAGCCACTAGGCTATTGCATTGGGCCAAGAAATTTTATTTTTTAATGATTTATTTTTATTGGAAAGGCAGATTTTTACAGAGAGAAATACAGAAAGAAAGATTTGCCATCTGCTGGTTCACTCTTCAAATGGCTGCAATGATCAGAGTTGAGCCAATCAGAAGCTGGAAGCCAGAAACTTCTGGGTCTCCCATGTGAGTGCAGGGGCCCAAGGCTTTGGGTCATCCTCCATTGGGAGCTAGATGGGCAGTGGAGCAGCCATAACACAAACTGGTGGCCATATGAAATCCCGGCGCTTGCAGGTGGGGGATTAGCTCGCTAAACCGTTCTGCCAGCCCCTCAACACAGAAATTTCAAACATTCCTTCTTTCTCTCTCACTCACATACACACATTGAAGATCAATATCAAAGAAAATAAAACGTTGACAAAATTATGTTGGCTTCCAGCATCATTTTTGAATATATACTGATTCATGGCATTAAAAAAAAATGATTCTAAGCTATATCTTCACAGTATATATACACTCAGAATTCTCATCTATGAGTACAAACATTTTCTATTGCTTATAAAAGACCCTGGAGAGCCAATCTGTGATTGAAAGAACCTGCTCAAGGAGAGTAGGCCTTACCACGCCTCTGTTGTTCTTCAGTTCCCCATGACAACACAAGACTCTTGAGCTGTCAATCAGAGAGTCCTTCTGGCCTTCTTCCAAGTAAAGCAGCCGCTCTTTGTAATAGCGACACTCCGATTCCCCAGTCTTGGTGTTGATTTCGGCCACAATTCCCTGAATGATGTTTATCTGTGCAAACAAAGAGGAAAGTAAGTTTTGGGCAGAAGGGCAGGAAGCAACCATCTACACCAATAGGTCTTACAGACTCAGTCTGGGAGGTCACCAACACTCACTTGGGAAAAGGAGAAAAAGAAATAACACTATTATGATGCTGTATTTATCCATCCATTCTTATAGACATATACCAAACAGATTTATTTAGCATATTGACACATAAGTTTATCTGAAAGGAGAAAATACAATATTCAGTCTTGGCTCGTTAGATTCAACTACTGAGTTCCAAATTGCTCATCTTTTCATTGAACATATTTTTAGTATTTGTTAAAGACATATTTACACATTTGAAAGAGTTACAGAGAGGAAAAAAGAGGATGGGGGAGAGAGAGAGAGAAAGATCAATGTTTTATCTGCTGATTCACTCCCCAAATGGCCTCAAAGGCTGTGGCTGGGCTGAAGTCAGGAGCTTGGAACTCCATCTGATCTTCTACATGGGTGGCAGGGGTCCAAGTACACGGGCTATTCTCTGCTGCTTTCCCAGGCATATCAGCAGGGACCTGGAGCATAAGTGGAGCAGACAGGTGCTCACATAGGTATCAGTTTTAACCAGCTCTGCCATAACACTGGCCTCTATGTTTTCATTTTTAATGGACATATGGTAATTGTACCCATTTATAGGGTAAAATGTGACATTTCAATACATGTATACAAACAGCAATAATCATACCTTGGTAACTTACACATCTATCTCTATTACTGCAAATGTTTATAATTTCTTTATGCTGAGAACATTCAAAATTTTTCTCTGCTAGCTATTTTGAAATATTCAAAATAAACTGGTATTGTGTTCAACTATACTATAGAACATTAGAAGTCATTCCTAATAATCAACTGCATCTTGTACCTGTTAACCATCCTCTCTCTACCTTGACCCCAAATCTTCCCTAGGCTCTGGTACCCACTATTCTATTCCCTGCTTTTTTGAGATGACATGTTACATATGTCTTCTTTTATTTCTTTTTTTAAAAAAACTATTTCATGGGCCCGGCGCGGTGGCGCAAGTGGTTAAAGGTCCTCGCCTTGCACGCCCGGGATCCCATATGGGCGCCGGTTCTAATCCCGGCAGCCCCGCTTCCCTTCCAGCTCCCTGCTTGTGGCCTGGGAAAGCAGTCGAGGACAGCCCAAAGCTTTGGGAACCTGCACCCGCGTGGGAGACCCGGAAGAGGCTCCTGGCTTCGGATCGGCATAGCATCGGCCCGTTGCGCTCACTTGGGGAGTGAATCATCGGACGGAAGATCTTCCTCTCTGTCTCTCCTCTCTGTATATCTGCCTTTCCAATGAAAAAATAATAAAAATAAATCTTTAAAAAAAAAAAAAAACTATTTCATTATTTTTATTTGAAAGGCAGAGTTACAGAGAAAGAGAGACAGAGAACTTCCATTGCTAATTCACTCCCCAAATGGCCACAGCCAGGAGCCTGGAGCTTCTTCCAGGTCTCCATGATGGTATAGGGGCCCAAACACGAAGGCCATCCTCTACTGTTTTCCCAAGCCATAAGCAGAGAGTGGGTCGGAATTGGAGCAGCTGGGACTTGAATTATCACCAAATGGGATGCTGGTTAACCTGATACACCACGGTGCTGGCCCCTGTACATGTCTTTTTCCCCCTGTACATGTACATGTCTTAAAGCATGCTCACTGTGTTAAAAAGGTAGGCATATAAAAACTGAGCCAAGGAGGGGAAGCAAAACAAAATGCTAGAATTGTGAAGACAGAGAATCTTTGGTTGGAGATCTCTTTGCATGTACTCAATCTAATGCACAAAAATATTTCCAAAAAGAATAGCTTGAAAATCTTTTTAGAGCTGACTACAGTTGCTGATTTAACCAGCTAATACTAGGAGTATTTGGACAGCTGGAATTAATAGCATTTTAGTCAATTCTCTAAGCTTTCTGCAAGTCCGCGGGGAACCAGAAAGAAGATGCCCTACGGGTTTAACGATGTGTTCATTTTTTAATTGAACGCTGGGATGGAGCAGCTCGCACATCATAGGAAGATTAATAAACTCAAACACCACCATGCTTCCTTAGGCAGCTATGACTGCTTTCAAATAATGCTTATTTCTTTAGTGCTCAAAGAAAAGAGAGACAAAACCATGGAAACAATCAACATCCTCCTTCAATATTCCCAGTGTGCATTTATAATAGGAAATCCAGGTCTGTTTTCACTTATGTTTACTTATTCTTAAAATCTGATTCATTCATTGGAGAGGCAGAGACAGATAGACACAGAAGAGAGCTTCTGTTGGCTGATTCACACTCTGAATACCCAAGACAGCCAGTGTTGAAGTTGCCCAGAACTGGGAATTCAATCCTGGTCTCTCTGGTGGGTGGCAAGAATGCAGTGACTTAGAGCGCTGTAACTCCTGCTTCCCACAGTGCACTTTAGCAGGACGCTATAACTAGGAATCTTAAATAGGATGTGGGTGTCGTAACCACCATAAGCTAAATACCCATATCTGCTTTATTCAAGTTGATGTTTTGGTATGTCTGTATCTCTATACACCACAAGGGTGTCACCTCTCTTCATTGATCCCTGAGATCTATTTGCCAGGCTTCCAGGGAGGAATAAAGATACACAGAGCAGGTTGCCAGGACCCAAACAGTCATGGCAGTTATGCATTAAGTTAAACTTAAATCCTTGCCAGGGTTTAGACTGAAGGAGAGGATGAGGGACCTGCTAAGAGTTCAGGGATTAAACCCACACATGCTGGAATCATCATCTTCAGAGTGGAATTGGAACCCTGTCTGTCTGGTCCCTTTGTGCCACGAAGTCATTTACCTTTTAGCACTGACATGAACCAAGAATAGTGGGCTGGATTGCTCGGCATCAAAAACAGGACTGTTCTTCCCATTGATTTCAGTTTTTTTTTTTTTTAAGGTGCTGGGGAACAGTGGCAGACATGAGGAAAGGGCAGTCTGCAGGATGATTTTCTGGCTGCAACAATTCTGAGAATTTTAAAACATTGAATAACCAGATCTCTTGTATGTCTGAGTCCAAAGTCCTGTTTCAAGAAGCTCTCTTTTGGGGCTTATTTCAATCACCCCCACAAAACACAATCAAGATGTTCTAATAAAGACGTGGTAGTTTATACACTGCATTAAAGACCATTCTTGCAATCAACTCCCTTAGTGTGCAAGCAATTTACTCAGCATTCGTTGCTATTTCCCTTTTCATAGGTTGGAAATTTATTCAAGGAACATATAAATCAAGCTCCACTGGCACCATGCATTTTATATTTGTTGAACATTCACAATGCACTCACGGATACAGGTTAAATAATTCTGCTCCCTTGGGGGTAACGGTGCATGCATTTTGAAAAGAGGGAGAAAAAGATCTGTGCCTGACTGTGGACATGAGCATACAGAAGATTTGTCTTGCAGACATGTTCAAATGTAGAAATATCCAATTGTGCAGCTCTGCCTGAATAGGTGGGTGCAGATCCAACTTTTAAAACTGGCTTCACACTTTATGCACTAGGGAAACTGGATTACTGGCACAACCTTCTATACTGCAAACAAACATATCCTCATCCACTTTAAAATTCAAACTTGAATGCACTAGTTGTTTCTTTAAAACGAGCCAGTGCTTTCATGCTGCATATTAAAAAAAAAAAAGGAAGCTTCACTCTCAAGTCAGAAGAGGCTTTTTTAGAGTAGCTAGAGCTCCGTGTTGTTTTCATTCCTGCAAACCACACACTCGCTGAGATGAAGTACAGAGAGGAGGCAACTCCATCACACTCTCCCCAGTAATAATAATTAAAAAAGACACGATGAAGTGAGATGGGTGCTTTCCTATGGGCGAGCGAGTGTTAGGTTGGGTCATGGCTTACTTAGCCTATGCGAGGGGCAGTGGGAGCAAGGTTTCAATGCGTATCTAGAGACTTGAGACCCACTCTTGGTTTCAGTGAAAGCCTTGAGACCCTTCTCCTGTTTTGACAGCACCTTGAGACCCCTGCAGACCCATGCAATAGGAAGGAAGCCCAAGGCCTTCCAGATATTCCCCTCCCTCTCAATCTCTTCTGGTAATTTGGGTACCTTTCAGTAGCTTGGTCACCTCCTCTAACTGCCTACCCCCCGTCCATACCCCTCTTGTGGTAAACTTGTGATAGTCTTGTAATAAACAACTCCAGGATGCACATGGATTACATAAGTTGTGGTGGCCTACACAGTGCCACCTGGCAAAGTACATGACAGCTGTACTGATTGGGTAGGCTTATAATATGTAACAGATACTTACATCCAATAGAACTATTGTTACTACTCTGAGGCTTGTTTCCCTGGCTCCTCCCTATATAAGCTTGTGCTTGGTTACCAATAAATGAACAAGTTCACCATAACTGTCTCCCGTTCTTTTCTACCAAGAATGTCATCACTGCACCACGTTACCTGGATGAATGATCCACGGCTGAGGGCCCCCACACATCCCCACTGCCTGCATTTACCCCCTGCCCTATCTTTGCATCCTGGACCAAGGGCCTCGTCTCAGGGGAGTTGGGTCTGACCCTTCAAGCATCACTTTTTTCTCACTTCTCTGTGCCATGTGAGGGCACCAGGCCTGGCTCCGCATTGACGAGGCCTTGCCACAATGCCTCGGCAGTTTCAAAGGTGATGAGGTTTCCGGGAAGTGGCTGGGATTGCTGCATGAGCATTCAGGATCATAGAGAGGCAGGATGGCACAGGACCTGGGGTCTACACCGATAGGGTTTGGCTCTGGAACTGGGAAGCTGTTTGTACCATATCCAGGTCTCATGGGGAACAGCTGTGAAGCAGAATGACTAGAAAGGTGTTCAACCAGTGTGAACTATTGTTACTATTCCTACTCAAGACTTAACTCCCTATGGGATTACCCGGGCAGGGTGCTTAGCAGGTTCTAGCTTCTGATGATCTGACCTGTCCCACATTAAATCTGGGAATCAGCCCTTTGTATTGGCAAGTCAGTTTCCACTCCTACAAGATTTTCAGGATTTTATACCTGGATCACAGCAGTAATATTCCCCTTCCTCCGCTCCCAGCCCTCTCGAACATGCAGCTTAGACACCTGCCTCTTCCTGCCTGGTCCCTGATCTACCTACAGACAGTAACCTGTCCAGGGTCACACAGTTTGTAATGATACAGCTGGCATTTGAACCCTGAGTCCCAGCTACTCAGGAAGTAGAAAACACATAAAAACAAACCTTCAGCTAATGACATGCCAAAAAAAAAAAAAGGTCACACACTGATCTAGAGGCCCCTGTAACACTGCATCTGCCTCTGTGTCTCCTGCCTCGCCCCTGCTGCTTCCTGGGAGTAATGTACAGCCCCAGGCCGACTGATGCACACACTGTTCCCTCCTTCCCTCTGGCCTGCCATCTGCTCTATCCTGCCCTGTGTAGGGCCCGGAGCAGAGCCAAGCCCTCTGGGACTCTAGTTGTTCGCAATATTCTAACAACAGGGATCTCATTTTCCCTTGTCTTCTGCTGAGGTGAGAGTGGAAGCGGCGTTCTTCACACCACCCAGTCCACCACTGGTAAACAAGCACTGAACGAGGGGCCCACAGGTGAGCAGGAGGCATGAGCAGGCATGCCGCCACATTTGGGGTCCATGTGCTACTGCTATCACAAAATATCTAAAAGCAGGTGATTTACAGAGAAATCAACTTAGCTCTAGGGCTCAGGAGACTTGGAAGTTCAGGAACACATGCTGGCCTCTGCTCAGCACCTGGTGAGTGCCCTCTCAAGGCTTTAGGACATGGCAAGAACACTACATGGAAAAACAGTAAGTGGGCCAGTGCGGGTCTTTCTTTTCCATCAAAAGCCACTGAGGCCACCCTGGGGCGGCTGACTTCATCAAATCCTAATTACCTCCAAAAGACCCTGCCTCCAAATACTGCCAATCTAACAGTTTGAGTCTTACATTTCCAAAATAGAACTTTAGGTGGGAAACATTCAAGACACAGCATCCATCTTATATAAGAATATCAACTTTATAAATGGGCTTTTTAACGGTTACCCTAGAAGTCAACTCCTATAGTTTAACTAAACAAAGATATTCAGTCTAAAATTTCACAAAGACTTTAACCCTCACAGCCAGCAACTATAACCCAAGATGAGCTACCCATACAGAATCAAAATTTCTAGAAGCAAAGAAACCTTAGAGTATGTTTCCTACATAAATACCACATTTTACAGTTGAGGAGATGGAGGCAAGCAAGAGACCTGCAAAATCAGAATATGACTGACAGTGTTGCTAGGCCTGGAACCCGGGGAAGGGGCAGGGGGGAGGGGAGAGAGAAAGTGATAGAGAGAGAGAGAGAGAGAAAAGAGCCGACTCACAGCTTCCTCCAAGTGCTGCTGATCTGGATTGTCGTTTGGTGTGTGCCTCAAGATTTCTCGCAGAAGCAGAGGGTATTTCACCAGGCGGCTTCTTGGAATATCAAGGAAATTCCAGAGATCCAGTTTGCGGCTAAAGGGGGACTCTAAGCATCGCTGTAGGAAATCCTGGACTCGGTGGTCTTGTTTTTTGTGGTCCAGGAGAGCTTTGGCGGCGACTTGATTGCTGCAGTAGCTGTCATAGGAGCTGAGACAAGGGAGCTAAGAAGGAAACATGAAAAGAAGGTTGGAACATCAAAACAGCTGCACCCTGAAGCTACAAGCCTTGTTGGACCTGAACAAATAGCCAACTGGTCTGCTGACCTGGACAACGTTCCTCTATGTGGCTGGAAGAAACTAGTACTATCTTCAAACAGCAATCCCTTGGCAGTTTTCTTAGGCTCTGGCTTGTTTTCATAAAGTGATTTTCTTAGCTGTATGTTTAATTTGATTGCTAAGGTCCCTATCACAGATTTGTGCCTATTTTATGCCAACACAAACCACGCAGAAAAGAACCAGAATTATTACACATGGATACAGTTTATAACCTACCTAACTGAACCAAAGCATCCAGTAAGGCAAAAGCCACCTATATTTAAAAAAAAGTAGCATTTAAGATTATCCATAAGAAATCCATGTAGGACACTTGGTGGCACGTACACAAAAGGCAAAGGGTCAGACCCCAGAGCTGAGTACTTGAGTTTCTCGGTATAAATGCCTTCACATTCATTTTTATTTATTTGCTTGTTTGTTTAAGGTTTATTTTATTTACTTGAAAGGCAGAGTTACAGAGAAAGAGGCATCTTCATTCTCTGGTTTACTCTGCAAATGGTTGTAATGACTGGGGTTGGGTCAGGCCAAAGCCATGCACTTGGAACTCCATCCAGGTCTCCTGTGTGGGTGCAGGGACCCTGTACTTGGGCCTTTTTCTGTTTTCCCAGGTGCATTAGCAAGGAGATGGATTGAAAGCGGAGCAACTGGGACTAAAACAGGCACTCATATGGGATGGTGGGATCACAAACACTGCCTTAACCTGCTGTGTTAACACTGGTCGTGCCTTCATGTTGGCTTTAAGATGACCTGATTCTAAGGCAACCCAATTAGAAAGGGACTCAAGAAGTAAAGCAAGGGCCAGCATGGTAGCTTATCAGGCTAATCCTCTGCCTGCAGCACTGGCATCCTATATGGGTACTGGCTTGGGTCCCAGATGTTCCACTTCCAATCTAGTTCCTTGCCAACAGCCTACGAAAGCAGTCGTAAATGGCTTAAGTCCTTGGATCTCTGCATCCACATGGGAGACCCAGAAGATGCTCCTGGTTTCTGGCTTCAGATTGGCTTAACTCTGGCCATTGTGGTCACTTGCGGAGTGAACCAGCAGATGAAAGATCTCTATCTCTCCTTCCTTCCCTTTCTGTAAATCTGCCTCTCAAATAACAATAAACAAAGTCTTTAAAAAGGAAGAAGTTAAAGCAAATTTTTTGCTTTGCTAATGCACCTGGGAAAACAGAAAAAGGCCCAAGTACAGGGTCCCTGCACCCACATGGGAGACCTGGATGGAGTTCCAAGCTTGTGGCTTTGGCCTGACCCAGCCCCAGCCATTACAATGGGTAGAAGGCTGCATTTACCACTACACTACCCTGTAAAAGGTTTCAACCCAAGAGGCTTTGTATTGGACCTACTATCTAGCAGACACTTAAGCATGTGTTATAGAGGTTATCAAGCCACTTGGGACACGAGCATCCTCTTTCAGAGTGCTTGGGTTCAACTTCTAACTCCACTCCTGATTCCAGTTTCCTGCTAATGTGTATCCTCGCAGGCAGCAGTGATGGCTCAAGAGCTTGTTTCCTACCATCCACATGGGGGACCTGGATTCAGGTCCCAGCTCCTGGCCCCAGGTCCTTACAGACATTTGTAGAGGAGAGATCTGCCTGTCTCTCATTCAACACACACAGTTTGTTTTGAATGAATAAATTTACTTCGAATCGATCATAAAATTCGTATCTGATGATTTGCAAACACTGCTTACAAGTAAAGCATGACCAAAAAAGTAAAGCATGACAGCATTTGAAAATTCATATATTTTGTTGCCCCTTTATACTTGCGATTAAAATGATTTTTCATGGTGTAACAAGCTAAGTCTTCTGTGAGACACCAGTATTCCACATAGGCTGTGGTCCAAGTCCACATTGCTCCATCTCCAATTGCACTTCCTGTTACTGGCCTGGGAAAGCAGTGGAGGCTGGTCCAAGTGCTTGGGTCCCTGTACTCAGTGGGAGATCTGGAAGAAGCTCCTGGCTTTGGATCATTGTGGCCATTTGAGAAATGAACCAGCAGATGAAATTCTCTCTCTCTCTCTCTACCTCTCCTCTTTCTATAATTCTTCCTTTCAAAAATAAACACATGTTAAATTATTTTTCCAATCCTTGATACAAGAAAAAAAAATAAACAGGTTCATTTTTTAAACATAGTACACTGCTAATGTCTACTTTCTTTTTTATAGAAAAAAACTACTTGTGTTTAAAAAAAGTTGCAGAAATCTTTTCCTTAACCTTAAATGTGAAAGCAATGATAATTGATACACACATCCCAGATGCAGTGTTGTGGCATATAATTTAGATTTTCAGTGTCAATTAAAAAGGGCCTCAGGCAGTCTTAATTTCATTTCCACTTCCTCGCCCTTTAAAAAGACCTGGACATGCCGGATGCTTTCATCAAGGAAAAACAAATTGCAGTAACCATTGGATATAAACTGGAAGAAACCCTGGACCGCCTTGTTGCTCTCTGATGCTGCGTCTCACTACCATGGCAACCAAACCGGGGCATGCTGGTATTCACACCTGAAAACGGTGTTTATTTCCTGGGCCTGACCTGAAAAGCTCTCTGATTGAGCCACAGGTCAGAAAAGACCACAAGTGAGCTTCAACTAGATACAGGATGAAGAGCATTCTCAAGTACAGCCACATTGACTTATTTCAGATGGGAGAGGTGAAAACAGATGGTTAGGACAGACTCTGGGATTGGAGAGCTGGGTTCAAGACACAAGTTGGCAGCTCTAAGTCTCTGAGCTCCAGTTTCTTCTCCTACACAATGCATATCTGCCATGTCCTGTGCCTTCAAGGACAGGAAATGGGAGTGCCAAGCTTGACTCCTGGTAAAGAATCAGTCAGGATCAGCCCACGTTGTTAGTGGTCCCTACATTTTTTTTTTAACTGAAGAAATTGTAGTTTAGAGAAACAATTTTGAAGAGAAAACCTGAGCCCAAGGCTGTTCTTGCGCCCTTCCTCCTACACTCCCCACAATCTCTGAAGGACTCAGATCTTTAAGTAGACTATCGGAAATTTTTAAAAATCACATTTTTAAAAGAAAAGAAGTTCTATCTCCTTTTTTTTTTTCGCTTCCATGTGATCCTACCTCTCTTGTTGGAACTAAAATTTCATGAGAGGCCAAATTAACATAAGAACTTGCTGCTTTGGAGAGCTCAAGACTTATTTTATTATCGACAGAAAATGTTAATGTGGACCTAAGTCATTTGGGAAGCTGCTTCCTTGAGCGGGGAGGATTCCTCCATCCAGCAGAGTTGCTCTCTGAAAGCAACCATTCTGGTCAAGGTCTTCAAAGTCAAGGGCATGGACTAATTCATCCCAAAGATAGAAGGGCTGGCCAAGGGCTGTCCCACTCAGAAGGCCTGCTCGGTTAAATGCAAGGTTTTGTTGTAAGCTTTCTTACCTTTTTTTTTGGTGGGGGGGTGGAGGGAATAAATTAAAATTTTTTGTGGGTGGAATGGGCTCTGACTCTTCTCACTCAAAGTCCAAAGATGTTTGTTTTGTTCTCTTAGAAAGGCCAGAACTCAAACAGATGAGGTGCTTGGTTTTCAGTTGTTACTTGCACAGACACATTAGTTTCAAGAGGGAAAACATCAGTTTGTTGGAGCTGATACACAAGGGCCATTTTTCACTCAGACTGGCAACAAAGTCCCTGTTTGACGCTGAAGGATCCAGGCTGCAACACACCTCCGTAGGTGATGTGTGAAAAACAATTGCCAAAGTTGTCCCTGGATCAAATCAATTTTTAAATAAAAGTGCCACACATTTACTGCAGAAAAAAGGTTATTAACAAGGCCAATTCCTACAATTTTTACTTTCATTGAGAGTTGATAATTTGCATATGATGTTGAGGGAAACTGTCTCTTGTCAAAAACAATGAATCATCCTGCCGGTCGGGCCATGCTGCCTCTTCTGCCCTCTTTATTCCCATCAAAGCAATCTACAAACTTAGGAAACAGAGCAAGCATGAAGGTGGACTCTCTCCTCTCATTACACCTTTTCTGTCTACAGATAGCCGGTTCTCCTGGGAGAACGGAGAAAGCTAGAGCATCGACCATGGCTCAAAATGAAATGAAGGTCAAAAGGACAAGATGAGCGATCCCTCTTGAAATATTAAGGCACATTTTCTGAATTATTCATCTTAGAACATGACTTGCCTTTCAGACACCCTTGGGGATAGTTCAGCCTTGGTGCTAAAATAGATTCCTGAGCTAAATCTATGCAAGTCATGAAACCCTCCAAGTTTCTTGATTGAGGCAGTAATTGAGAAGCCTAAGTCACAAAATCAATGCTGAAACTTTCCGCACGTCCGCTTGGCGTCCAAGGCAGAGGATCTGGAAGGTTTCAGGATGGTTAACATGCAGATAGAACGGGATACAAAGAGCTCACACAGCGAGGGTAAGACTTACAGTCCACACAACCCTCACTGAATGGCGGAACAACTTCTGAGACCCTCTGCTAAATCACTTCCTGCCTATTTCTCCTGTAACACTGTGTGGATTGCTGGCATGAGGAACCTAACCCTGTCTAGAAGAAGCTGTCAAAGTCATCTGCTTGCATCAACTGCTTCAACACAAATGGAAAACACCTGGGCTAGGGAAGAATATTCAAGTACTCCTGGAAGGAAACATGGACAATGGGGGTGGGGTAGCTGGGCCAAAAGAGAGAGTGTGTACCTTTTCTAAAGGAAATGAAACAAATCAGCCACAACATTATGTGCCCAACAGAACATAACTTCAGTGATAGGACCATAAATTAATGGTCTAGGGCTACAGCTACTGTCTTTGTTTATTTAGGAAAATGAACGGGTCATGGATGGGATGCTCAGCATGTCCCCAGCTCACAAACATCAGCAAATTTACTTAATAAACTGTTTATAAAACTACATTTTAATATGTATTTGTGCATTTATTTTTAATTTGAAGAGAAGAGTGAATGCGGTAGGGGCAGAGAGAGATTGATTCTATCCATTGTTTGATTCCTCGAATCCCTACAACACTTAGGGATGAGTTATGCCAAAGCCAGAAAACTGGAACTCAATCCATGTGTCCCATGCGGGTAGCACAAACCCAAGACCTTGAGCCATCACCTACTGCTTCCCAAGGTGTGCATCAGCAGGAATGGAAAGCAGATGAGGACTCACATAGAGGACGTGGGCTTCTTAAGCATCCTCTAAAGCATGGTCCCAAATGCCTACATTCACATGTTCATGCGAGAGGAAGAGAGGGATAGAGGGCAACAAAGAGAAACACACAGCACACCGGGGTGGGGTGAGACGGGGCTCATCTGATGGTTCACTCTTAAATGCTGGCTCATTCCCCAGAGAATCACAACGACCACTGCTGAAGATGAGCAGAAGTCGGGTGACAGGGACTCACCCACCTGCTGCCCCCCAAGGAGTACAGCTGCAAGAAGATGAAATCAGGAGCACAGCCAGGACTTGAACCAGGCACTCTGATATAAGGCATGGGTGTCCCAAGCAACAACTAGACTGTCGACCAAAACCCTTTTTGAAATTACATTTTGATCAAGAACCTTTTGCTTGTAATAGCCTGCGAAGACTCTTTTTTTGGGAGGGGGACACAAGAATATATAAATGTATGCTTACTACATTAAAAATGTCTATATCATATTAGTAGTGACTTGAATTGACTACAAAATAGTTCTATTTTATCTGATAGGAAACTAGTAACAGTTTCCTGTGTACCTTTACTTATTGCAAAAAGATCATGCTATCTCTAAATGTATTGAATTTATAATAAGGGCAAAAAATTGTTGTCACACTTCAAGGGGAAAACCTAGGTATATAAAATTTAGTTATGTTGTCATGTGAAAGCAGTATTTACCAATCAGAAAAGTCTAGCTAAAAAACTGAAATTCCATCCAATTCACCCACGACCAAAGAATTTTCTTACCCAACCCACGAGGATGGGACCAACGTGCTCGGTTGAGCCATCAGGCTTCCGAACATCTCGGAGCTGGCTGAGGAGCGCTGGCAAGAAACACACAGAATGTTTGTGTTGTTAGACAGGAAGAGGGCTGGAAGTCAGCTCTGGGTTATTCACGCTATTACATAATCACTGACTTGTTATAAGGCAACTCAATTAAGGCTACAAGTCACGACCCATCCTGGAACCAAATTATACCTTCATGCAGAGGAATTAGAGAGTCCAGTGTTCCAAAAATTTGATTCAGCTCCTGTTCCGTCATTATGGAGAGTTTCAACATGGGGTCGTGATAGGCCTGCGTGAGAAGGACGTGAGATGGAAACAGACATTTAAAATCATAGGAAGCTGCTTGTGGAAATACTCCTGCGTGGTCCCTCACTAGGTCCCCCTGACAGCTTATCCCACAATGTTACAGAAACAACAGAGGTCCTCACTCCAGATGTGGCCAGAAGACAGGAGAATCCAGCCTTGCTGCGAGAGCCTTGTGCGTGTGTTTAAATTATTTTACTATTTATTCATTTATTTGGCAAGCAGAGCAAAAGAGGGAGCTCTTTCAGCCACTAGTTTATGCCCAAAATGGCTGCAACACCCAGGTCTGGGCCATGCCGAGCCAGGAGTCAGAAACTCCATTGGAGTCTCCCATGTGAATGGCAAAGGTCCAAGTACTGGGCCATCTCCTGTTGCTTTCCTAGACACATTAACAGGAAGCTGAATCACAAGCGGAGCAGCTAGTACAGCTGACACAGGATGCTGGTGTTGCAGACAGTGGCTTAAGCTGATGTACCACAACACTGATCCTGTTTTATATTTCTGAGAGCTTATTTTTCCAAAGCTATTTCAGTCTAGCATATCAAAGAGTATAAATCCTAAAGTAGGGCATGCTGGATTGCTGTAACATTTTAAAGATATCAGTAAGATCCTACAGCTGCAGATACTTGTACTTGATTCAAAGTTAGCTACCAGCAGTCTCTTGCGCAGTTATTATACATATAAAGGAAAACATGCAGTCGGTATCCTTTCCTATTAATCTAAAGCAAAGGAGGCAAACCTCTGCAGATCTTGTTAACTCTACTAAAGTTAATTAAGCAAGCATAGCTAAACCTAGGGCACTGTAAATACAGTAGATGGAAGATGACCTTTGCACCTTGGGCTCCTGTACCCAAGGGGGAGACCAGGAAGAAGCTTCTGGCTCCTGGCTTTGGATAAGTCCAGCCACTGCAGCCTTTTGGAGTGAACCAACAGAGGGGGGATCTTTCTGTCTCTCCCTCTTTCTGTAACTCTGCCTTTCAAATAAATAAATCTTAAAAAAACAACACTCCACTACTAGATAATAAAAACTTATGGAGAATTAAATCCATGTATCAATAAATGATTCAAGTTTGGAAACAGAAAATGTCACATGAAAGCAAAAAGCTATCAAATCACCATCACTCAGGAGTCCAAGAACTAAGGCTTTAAAGAGGAGTTCCATGATTTGGGAAAAGGTGGTACACTTTCAGCAGAAGGGAAATTGTGCTCTGAGTTGGCTCCTGGAGGAGGGGTTGACTCGGATGGCCCAAAGGAAAGAAGAGGATGTCAGGATGGCAGGACCCCCAATAGCCAAGGATGGCAGCGGGAGAACCCTGAGAAAGGTGCCTGCCTTTGTGCAGGAAGGAGCAAAGGCACATGTGAGCAGCATGGAGTCTCCCAGAGTCAGCTGCCTCCTTTGTCCACGCTCATCCCCGCCTCCTCCAGCCATGTCTAAACCTGAATTTTCTGGGTGTGTCCATGTAAAGCCTGGGTGGCCATTTCCACATGAGCAGATCCTTCAGATAAAGGAGGCTCTTGCTAACTCTTCGATGTGTTTGAGGAGGCTGTGAATGTAAGATAAGAAACCTGGATTTTTAGCTTTGAGGCCATGGGGGGCAGTGAGCTGTCACTTGAATGTAAAGGTTTCTAAGGAAGGCTTGCTGTCAAAAACACATAGGCTGGGGCTGGCATCGTGGTATAACGGGTTAAATCGCTACTTGTGGTGCTGGCATTCCCATATCAGAGTGCTAGTTCCAATCCCAGCTACTCTACTTCAGAATCGGTTCTGTGCTAACGTGCCTGGCAAGGCAGTGGATGGCAGCCCAAGTATTTGGGGCCCGGCATCCATGTAGAAGACTCAGGTAGAGTTTTGGATCCTGGCTTTAACCTTGCCCGGCCCCGGCTGCTGCAGCCGTTTGGAGAAGGAAACAGTGCATTGGAAATCTCTTTCTCTATCACTCTATCTTTCAAATAAATAAATACATGTTTTTAAAGATTTATTTATTTATTTTTATTGGTAAGTCAGATATACAGAGAAGAGCAGAGACAGAAGGGAAGATCTTCCATCCATTGATTCACTCCCCAAGTAGCCACAATGGCCGGAGCTGTGTCAACCCGAAGCCAGGAGCCAGGAGCCTCTTTCAGGTCTCCCACATGGGCACAGGGTCCCAAGGCTTTGGGTCGTCTTCAACTGCTTTCTCCAGGTCACAAGCAGGGAGTTGGATGGGAAGCAGAGCCACCAGGATTAGAACCAGTGCCCATATGGGATCCCGGCACTGCAAGGCAAGGACTTTAGCCACTAGGCTATTGTGCTGGGCCCAAATAAATATATTTTTAAAGGGCTATACACATTACAAGGGACAGGTTTCCTGCTCATGTTGATATTGATCAAGAGGAAGTCAGTCTATAATGGATACTCATATCAGAGTAGCTGATATGAGGGTATGCCAGTACCTCGGTTTACCTCTCTGCAAACGCTGAAATGAACTGGATTCTCAGTTCATTTCAAAATACACACAAAGCCAGGCCTCTGACCAGCTCTGTTTCCACCATATTCCCCACATCCAGGACTGCTGTAATAGGCTGTTCTCAGTTGCTGATCTGTCTTGCTCATCAACCATCACACCAGGAACATGGAATTACTCAGAGGGAAAAAAAATAGCTCACTGCTGGATTGGAATGTACCTTTTTTGCTAATTTCAAGTCTTCTATTAAGTCTTCTTCTCCCTGGGAAAGCTCAAAGATGGCCTGCAGAAACACAAAAACAAAAACGAATCATTGACCACTCCATGTATGACAGTAAATTCAAATGGCCAGTTCCAGCACTCAACATCCCCAATTTACTTATTTAAATATTCGAAGAGTATTCTATAGAGTTAAATTGACCTGGAGTAAATGCATTGAGTAGCTAGAATCTGCAAAGAAACAATATTGTGGATAACTTAGGTATAAGCTACTTCTCTGTGAGAGAGAGGCTGCCTATAGGTTCCTTCCTTTTTGTAAAATTAAAGCTTTATTTTAGTTTACAGGCAGCATGACAGATACAAAGGGACAGAGTGCAGGGTTGGGGGGTGGTCTGGGTGGCAGGGATCCAGCACATAGGGACCAACTTCTTGCTTTCCCAGGTATATTAACAGGGTGCTGGACTGGAAGCAGAGTAGCTGGGACTCCCAGGGGCAGTTCAATCTGGGATGCCAGTGTTGCAAGATGGTAGCCTAACTTGCTTAGCCTCTCTTTAATTAACTAAGATGGAAGGAGGGAGAAGGAGGAAGAGAGAAAAAGAGAGGATGAGAGAGAGAGAGAATCTCTCATCTGCTAGTTCATTCCCCAAATACCCACAACAGCCCAGGCCGGGCCAAGTGGAAACTAGGAACTGAGACCCTCATTCAGGTCTCTCATATGGATGCCAGGAATCCAGTGACTTGAGCCACGCACATCCGCAGGAAGCTAGCAACAGCAGTGGAGCTGGATCTCAAATCTAGGCATACTGATACAAGATGTGGACACCCCAGTCAGTGTTCTTAACAACTGTGACAATTGCCTGCCCCTCGTGTATGTCTCTAACCCAACAAGACACCTTTGATGTTTACAACATCGATGTAGTTGAGCACAACAGGAAACGACTTTAGGTAATATAAAATCAGTTTGAGCCACGGATTCAACATCTTTGGAAAATTTCAGTAATGGGCTGTCACTGTTCATTTATGGTGAATCTCAACAGGAAGTTTTATACCTATCATCTACTTGTCTTGTGCCTGCGATAACAGGAAGAATCCAACATTTTATCGCTCTAAATAAAGTCTGGTGAAGTTAATTCATCCTAAATTATTTCTCAGTTCCACAAAAGTACAATAAATAAAATTATAGCAGCAGGCTGTATGCTGGCGTGTATAAATGGGCCATTTCTAATTAGACTCTATTAAACCGTCATCACTGTAGAAGCTATAACGCACACAGCACTTTTTCATGCTCGTGTGGGGGGTTTAAATCATTGTCAAGCATCACCTTATTAAAGGTCAGTTCTGGGGCTACTGTATTTCATTTTTTTAAATGTAGAAATGTGAGCTTTATTTTTTTTTGCAAAGTCAGATTTACAGAGAGGAGGAGAGACAGAGAAGAATATCTTCCGTCACTGATTCACTCTCCAAGTGGCTTCAATGGCTGGAGTTGAGCTGATCTGAAGCCAGGAGCTTCTTCTGGCTCTTCCATGTGGGTGCAGGGTCCCAAAGCTTTGGACCATTCTTGACTGCTGCTTTCCCAGGCCACAAGCAGGGAACTGGATAGGAAGCAGGGTGACCGAGATACGAACCAACCCCTATATGGGATCCTGGTGCATGCAAGCCAAGGACTTCAGCCACTAGGCTACCGTGCCGTGCTCTACTGCATTTATTTTAAGAGGAGAAGAGTAAGTGGACTTCAGACAAGTTGATGGTGGTGGGGGGATGATAACCAGTAGGGTGTTTGGTAAGCAGGGGAGGCAGGCTCCTGGGCTGGGGGCTGGGTGTGGCAGCCTCTCCTGGAGCCAGGGAAAGCATCGTGACATCCTTTTTTACTTTCAAATAATTTTAGACTCAGTTCTCTGCATACAGCACTCTGCTGGCCTTGATGGCAGCATCTTCCACAGCTGTCGTGTGTTCTCAGAACCAGGAAATGCACTCTTAACAGCGAGGCCAAACATCCACCCCTTGAAGCCTTCATTTACTTATAGAATTTTTGAACAGATGAATTCATCTACATGGCACTAAGCATATGGTACACAGATACAGAGTCAAAACCTTCCCTTTCCTCCAAATCCCCCACCCAGCAACAATGCTGCCAGTATCTTGCATGTTCTTTCAAAAACAGCTTATGGTTCTACAGGCAAATCAGTATGCGCACATACAATCTCTGTATCAGGGGTAAGGTGAAGTGCTTGCAAGGTGAAGACATTAGCCACTAGGCTACAGCACCAGGCCCTGGGCACCCATTCTTAAACCAGCTCCTAGCTTCTCTTAACGGATGTTCAGGTTCTTACTGAACTGGTACTATTATAATCATTCCTGTGCCCAATGTGATAGCCTAGTGGCTAAAGTCCTCGCCTTGCATGCACTGGGATTCCATACAGGTACCGGTTCATGTCCTGGCAGCTCCGTTTCCCTTCCAACTCCCTGCTTGTGGCCTGGGAAAGCAGTCAAGGATGGCCCAAAGCCTTGGGATCCTGTACCCGCATGGGAGACCTGGAGGACACTCCTGGCTCCTGACTTTGGATGGGTGCAGCTCCGGCCATTGTGGCCACTTGGGGAGTGAACCAGTGCATGGAACATCTTTCTGTCTCTTCTGCTCTCTGTATATCTGACTTTCCAATAAATATAAATAAATATTTATAATAATATTTATAATAAATATAAATAAATATAAATAAATAAAGATTTATTTATTTTTGTTGGAAATTTAGGTATACAGAGAGCAGGAGAGACAGAGAGGAAGATCTTCCATCTGATGATTCACTCCCCAAGTGACCACAACAGCCGGTGCTGCATTGATTCAAAGCCACAAGCCAGGAACTTCCTCCAGGTCTCCCACGTGGGTGCAGGGTCCAGAGGCTTTGGGCTGTCCTCGACTGCCTTCCCAGGCCACAAGCAGTGAGCTGGATTGGAAGTGGAGTTGCTGGGATTAGAACCAGCGTCCATATGGGATCCCGGTGTGTTCAAGGCGAGGACTTAAGACACTAGGCCACTGCACCAGGCCCAAAAATAAATAAATCTTTAAAAAAGATAAAAATAAAAAATAAGCATTCCTATGATGCATAATCTTACCCATCTGTATTGTCACTTCTATACCAGTAGATCTGGCAGATAAATTTCTAGAAAAGAACTGGTGAGTCAAGGAAAGGTTCCAGGTGCCACTTCTGCTTATGTCCATGCCTCCACCAAAATCCAAATATTCTCAGGATCTCACCTCACTAGATGTTACACACCTAAATGAAGAGCTCAGCACAGCTTGCAATGCAACAAGGCGAAGGGTGCTTGCAGGGAATGCAATGAATCATACACCACAGGACATTTTTCTACCAAGCTGAACCAGTTACACTGGTATAAATGGCACATTTAAAAATATTCCAGGAACTGCATCTAAAATATAACTAAGATGAGGATTTCTGCAAACTGCAGAATCCTAAATAGACACTTTGTTTCATTTTCCCCATAAGCATGTAAGTCTGAATTTGTCACATCAGCTTTTCTTTTGAAAGTGCAGGCCGCACCCACCCAGCTGGGTACGGGGGTTCTCAGTTCCTCTGTGAGGTCTGACACTCTGTTTAATCTCCTTCCGTGAATGTAATGGAGCCTGGATCTGGAGTCTGGGGTACAGATCCTGTGTGAGCCCCCACCTGCAGAGAACATGACGGCCAGCTCCCTAAGCCCAGAGGCCTACCTCCTGCCGTTTGATCTCCTTGGACGTAAGCATCTGATTGACGCACACATCGAAGGTCTCACTCCACAGCTTGCTGTCTCTGCGCTTGGTGCTCGAGGGGGCGGCATTTCGGGACCAGGGCCGGGAGCCAAGGATGTCAGGGCGGCTCTCGCTGCGGAAGCTAATGGAGCGCTGAACAATGAGAAAAACAAACTGTCAGGACGGGCTGGGTCTGCAGAACAGCTTCCTGCAGCTGACAGAACATCAGTCACGTGTGTGCAAGAAAGAGAGGACATGGCCATGGGGCCTCTGGGGGCGGGCACTGCCCCGAGCCTACGTGCTGAGGAAAACTTTCCTGTATACGTGCCAGGTGTGTCTGAGCTGTCTGACCTGAACATGTAGGGCAAAGCCCTGCAGAGAGGCAACTATCAGATAAGAGATTATTCTAGATCTTTCCTCCACCCTTGCAGAACAGCATGGGGTGATGATAGTGGTTGGCCTTGGGGCAGCTGGAGGGATGCATGCATTTAGTCAATCCTTCTAGACTCTTCCTCCTGCTAACAACAGAATCCCACCTCCTTGAGTATCCTGTCCTTTTTTTTTTTTTAAAGATTTATTTATTTTTATTGGAAAGTCAGATATACAGAGAGGAGGAGAGACAGAGAGGAAGATCTTCCATCTGATGATTCACTCCCCAAGTGACCACAACGGCCAGTGCTGCACCGATCCAAAGCCAAGAGTCAGGAATGTCTTCCAGATCTCCCATGTGGGTGCAGGGTCCCAAGACTTTGGGCCATCCTCAACTGCTTTCCCAGGCTACAAGCAGGGAGATGGATGGGAAGTGGAGCTGCTGGGATTAGAACTGGCGCCCATATGGGGTCCAGGCGAGGACTTTAGCTGCTAGGCCACTGCACTGGATCTGGGTATCCTGTTTTATATCGTTTGTGTGAGGTCTCCTAGACCTGTCCAGATTATTTTACCACGCTACTTCAGACCTGGGCACTGATTCCACAAAATTTGCCATGTTATTGAAGGACAAAATAAAAAGCATGCTTATTCCTTCAGAACAGCTGAGTTCAAGACAAACTCAAGCAGGTGCTTCTTCTAGAAACTCTGGGGTCACAGAAGAACACGCTGCAGGAGCTGGCGTCGAGGCCAGTGGGTTAAGTTACTGTTCACACACACCAAATACTGGAACAGCAGTTCCGGCCCTGACCACTCCACTTTGGATTCAGGCCCCTGCTAATGATCCTGGTAGAGCAGCAGAAGATGGCCCCAATTTTTGCTCCCCTGCGACCCAGGTGAGAACCGGGCTCCTCACTTTGTCCTGACCCAACCTCAGCTGTTGTATCCATTTGAGAAGTGAACTAGCAGTGGAAGATTTCTGTGTCTCTGTCACTCTCCCTTGTCAAATAAACAAATGAATCTTTTAAAAATAAGAATAATCTTCTGCAGGACAGTAAAAGGGATACACAGAATGAAGGAGGGGGACAGTGAGTGACTGAGGGAGGAAGCAAGCTCTGGTAATGTTGTTTGAGTCCCTGGATCGCAGTGTGCCTGAAGCCAGGCAGAAGAACCCCCAGATGTTTCATTCGTGGGAAAATGCATTCCATTTCTTTTTACATTTATCTCGGGGTTCTTGCAACTTAAAAGATTTCACAATAAACCTACTAAATATCATCTGGGCAGCAAATGATGTGTGTCCATGAGGTTCTTTCTAAGTTTTAAAAGAAGCTACAGTGGATTCTGAGGTGGTCTAGCTACCCAAAGTCCACCCTGGTGGCTGAAATATGCACTGCAGTGCTTTCTTATTGACCTACACAAGTCATCTGGAAGAAGGGGGAATATGTTATTTTTAGTTTCCATCCTAGACTTCAAAACACTCATTGGTAATTGTGTTAAAGCACAATGTGGCTCAAAAGCCACATTTTCATTTAGTACATCCTTCTTCCCGTGGTCCCCTGTGGCCCTGGGTGTGAAGGTCCACTCCTCAGCAAGGCGCAGAAGACCTCTCGGTGTCTGATTACAGCCTACAACTATGAGGGCATCGTGCTGCACACGCACTAGGCCGTTATTCTCCCACCACAGTAACCGGTCTGCCATTCCCTCCAGGGGTCATGCTTCACCAACCTCTGTGCTTCCCTCATGGACCTAGAAGGTATTTGTTGGGTTTTGCAGCTATCCAACTCCCAGCTGTTCTCAGCAGACTCTAATAACATCCCTTCCGGGATTGGAATTTGGACATTGCTCTGATACAGTAGGGGTTACGTTTCATGACACTTGCTGCTCACATGGTCCCGGCTACAAACTTTCCTAGGGCAGAGACTGATTTGCATGTGACATGAGTTGTCATTGCAAAGACATTCAAGGGTAGTTTCCATAGATTTTGAAATGCAACAATAAAACTCAAGAAAGTAAAGTTTTTAAGACTACCACTCAAATAAGGGCACTGATGAATAAGTATGATTTCCTGCTTGATAGACTATTATTTAACCATTCAGATATTTCTGAGATGATCTGGCAACTAAAAATTCCAACAATCTTCTATCAAGATTAAAGTCTATGCATGAATGATGTACTTAATTATGTAAAAAAGATATATGAGCAAAGGCATAAAGGGAATGCCAAAAAATTCTACTGATGGGGCTAACACTGTGGCACAGCAGGTTAAGTTACAGCCTATGATGCTGGCATCCCATAGAAGCTCCAGTTCGAGTCTCAACAGTTCCATTTCTGATCCAGCTCCCTGCTAATGCACCTGGGAAAGCAGTGAGAGGCAGCACAAGTGCCTGGGCTCCTGCCATCCACAAGGCAGACATGGCTGGAGTTCCAGGCTCCTGGCTTCAACCTGGCCCAGGAGTGGCCATAGGAAGAGTGAACTAGGAAATGGAAGATCTAATTCTGCCTTTTAACTAAGTCTTTTTAAGAATTCTGTCATGATGACATTAACAGAGATTTCTGTCATAATTTACAAATTTTTATGTTCCAAGAAAAATGAATAAAATTGATAAATGAAAAACAACAAAAAAAAGGCATTTCCAATGAGCTTTAGGGTATTACTACTGCCTTCAGGAGGCAGGAAGTTAGCTCTGTTTGCAAGCAGCCACTCCAGCTCCTTCCACCAGCACAGGCATCCATGAGTTCCTGGGCAGGTTAATAAGCTCAGGACAGCTGGACCAGCTCTACACGGGAGATCATTTCAAGACTTGTATCCAATGTGCAGTTCCAGTTCCACTAATGGCATATTGCAAATCCTTGTGCTCTCTTAAAAACAGACTCTTGTAAACAGTTACCAGACTAAATGAATGCAGAGCCCCTGCACTCAGAATCAATTAGCCACAGGCACTAAAAGGTCAAAACAAAGCACAGCGAGTCAGTCATCAGCTCATTCAACACAGCTTGTGGCTCTGCTGAGAGCCAGAGAGGGAAATAAAGAGGAGAAAGGGAGGAAAGCATCCAGAAACGAACATTTAAAACCAAAGTTTCCACTTTCACTTAAAATCAACTGCTCACTCATTTTCAGTCCTTGACCAACTCCAAACTCCCACTGATTTGAAATCAGTTTATGCTAACTTTAAATATTCAAACGTTACAAACACACACAAAAACTACAAATATTACCCCACTCTCCACTGCCTAGCAGCAAATACTTAAGTTTGTTCTAGATTTTTCCAAACCTTTTCTGTAACTTTCCTAATATTCTCAGAAAGAGAGTTATTTTCTTTTTCTCAACAATATCTTCCTATGTTAAGCAGATATCTCAAAAAGTTCATGGAAAAGATAACTGAAAGGTAAGTTATTTTGGCGCAACATTTTGCAATTCACAGCATGAACTGTTTTGAAGATTCATCCTATGCATGAATTACAAAATTTGTGCACCAAAATAAACCTACCTTACTTCCTTATTTATTGAGTGGTGCGTGCTCAGCCCTTCTACTTCATTCTCTCTGATCCTAACAATCATTCTGGAAGGTGGTGGTGTTGGAGCTTCTTATTTTACCAGGAAGGGAACTGAGGCTCAGGGAAGCTAGCGTTCTCACCCAGGTAGGGTTCCAAAATGTGTGCTTCCAAAGCCTGAACGCTCCCTGCTAAGAGGGCTGAACCTGCTGTTTACATGAACACCCCACACTGTGGGGCAGTTTCAGTGAGACGGGATCTCATTTCTGTCTTTCAGGAATTTAAATCAAGTTATGGAAAGAGAATCCATTTGCTTAGTTTTAGTAATAATGACCACTCTGATCAATCAAGCTTCAGATTTATACCTTTGGTCAGGGTGGGTTAAAGCAATCATTTTGAGGCTGACATTGTGGCACAACAGATTAATGTGCTGCCTACAAGGCTAGCATCCCACAGGAGCACTGGTTCAAGTCCCAGCTTCTCTGTTTCTGATCCTACTTTATAATGCACCTGGAAAAGCAGCAGAAGATGGCCAAAGTGCTTGGACCCCTGCACCCATGTGAGAGATTCAGCCTGGAGCAGTCTTGGCTGTTAAAGACTATTTGGGGAGTAAACCAGAGGATGGAAGACCTCTGGCTCTACATGAAGTGGGGAAAGAGATAAAAGAATCCAGGAAAAAAAGCAATGCTGCTCAGAGGTGTGGCTGGCGGCTGGCTGTAGGGGAAAGGGGTGGCTGGCTGCAGGACATGTTTAGGGCTGGGATCTGAGCAAGGGCGGTGTTCACAAGTGCTATAACCCACTACCAGTCATTAGCAGAACTGTGTAAGAGAACAGGGCTGGGGAGGGACATGTGGTCACAGTCTGCAGAAAACACCCAAGGAAGAGGATGCCTCTTGAGAAAAGAAGGCGACCACAACTCTCCCACCGTCCCAACCACTACCACTCCCTGATCCTTGAACTGTTTTTTTTTTTTTTTCCTGTTGTCACCAGGAAGGCTATGGCCTCATTAATAGGGTGGCTGGTTTCTGACTCAGCTATTTAGCTGTTTCAGTTCTACTGAAGTTAAGCTCCATGAAGACAGGGCTGTCAATCTGCTCTGTTAATGGATGGGGTCATCGGCAGCAAGCGCATAGTGAGATCACAACAACTTGTACTGAATGAACGAATGTTTTTTTTTTTTTAAAGATTTATTTTTATTATTTTTTCATTGGAAAGGCGGATATACAGAGAGGAGAGACAGAGAGGAAGATCTTCCGCCCGATGATTCACTCCCCAAGTGAGCGCAACGGGCCGAT